AGGACTACCGTTATGTCTTTTGAACCTGGAATTTTTTAAAATAATAGTTAATACTAACCTTAAATCTTTAACCCTAACCCCAATTTCTCTGTGGAATATCACAGCTAAACCCAACGAAAAAGTCACGAGACCAAAATGAAGAACATGCGAGTAATTAATTAAGATTTACCTTAAGGTGTAGTTTTTTATTGATACAGGCACCATTTAAAAGAGCTCTCGTGAATGCAGTGGCCTCCGTGTACCCACTATGAAGAATCACAGCTTGGCCGCTTAATTTATGGCAAAAGATTGCAAACCCTCGTCAGTCAATCGTGATGGCTGATAGAAGACCAATAAGTAACGTAACACACATTCAAGTTATGTACAAAATCGATGACTGAAACTAGAAATCACTCGCGGAGCCTTGGACCTTCACCAAAAAGGCTAACTAGATTTATGTTGGAATTACCCTTAGTGAACAAAATCAGTTAACTAGATTTCGCTTCTCTCTCACACAGTTCTCTCACTAACAAGAGTATGCCGAGTAATAGGATCATGATCCCTATCTAGGGTGTATCTTCAGTCAAAAAACCGGCACGGTTAAATTCGATTACATGGCTTTTAAAATAGCTTATTAAATTCATGTTTCTTGATAACAAAATTGGGATAGGAGGACTTTACTTTGTAAAAGATTTGTGGATAAACAGGTACATATTTTTTGTAGACGGAAACTATGATACGTACCTCTAAACTGTCAAACCCGTCAAATCGTCCGTCCATCCCGGAAAATCCTCGAAAATCCGCGGTCGTAAAATTACCAGCGGCGATAAACCAAAAATTACCCACATGTCTTTGCGATTCTCGCTACATACGGGACCTGTTACTTTCACGTCCTTTTTCGCCGATTCCAAGATGGTGAGTGCACGTGTGAAAACACAGCAAAATATTCGATTAAATTTCTCTGTTGAGTAATGTCTAACTGTGCTCAACTTTTCTTGATAAATTCTTCAGGTGTATAAACGTTTGGTTGAAATTGGCCGTGTGGCTCTGATTAACTCTGGACCTGATGAAGGCAAGCTTTGTGTGATCGTTGATGTGGTGGACCAGAATCGAGTGAGTTTAACCTTGCGAGGTTTCAAGTTGTTTATTGGCCTAGTGTATTGAGACTACTTTTGAATGAACTTGAAATCAAAATTTGGACTTACTGAAAAAAGGTTTTGAGAAGGATACCAAGTATCTTTTCACTGACCTTCACTTTAAATCACAAATATATCGATTAACCCAGTGATGTGTAAACCGCATCCATCACTTTGTACATGTAGATCTCTGGGTATTTCGCATTTTAGTGAAGTTCTTTATAACTGAAATGGAAATTTCTTTTTGTTAAAGGCCCTGATTGATGGACCGTGCACCAATGTCTGTCGCAAGGCCCTAAATTTCAAGCATCTGTCCCTCACTGACTTCAAAATCAAGGTGGGACCATCAGCCAAAAGTGGCCCAGTTAAGAAAGCCTTTGAGAACGGGGAGATCTTAGAAAAGTGGGAAAAGACCGCATGGGCCAAGAAGCTTGCTACAAGGAAGAAGCGAACTACTCTGACTGATTTTGATCGCTTCAAACTTAAGCTGGCCAAGCAAAAGGTTTGTGCTACTATTGTTAGTGGAGTATTTTATATTTCTATTGTATACTTTTTGGATGGGTGTGCTTAATCGAAACTAATGAAGTGTACTGAATATTTCACTGCACAACCGTCTTTCTTACTTGGTATCCAATTTTGTAAGTGCAGTGTCTGTGGAGTGTAATGTTTATTACTAAAGTTTTTAGTGCTCAAAAAAACGGCCAGTCGACATTTTGAGCCCTGTGTTTTGAAGTGCAGTTACAACAAATCTGTCTTTATTGCTTGAAACAAAACTTAATGTTGGTAATACAACCACCCTGCTAATATGGGCAAATTCATATGGCATTATTTGTATGCAAACAGGGTTACATTGTATGTGGTAGCAACTGACCAGACATTAACCCCTTTTGCTTGTCATGTGGCCAAAAAAAAAAATATAAATTCAAATTTCTTTTTTGTACAATTGGCTGAAGAAATAATGTAAATTTATACTTTAAAAAGTTTGCAAAAGTTTTGGCTGAGACAATTCATTTGAATGGTGATGCAGTAGAATTTTGTCCGCAAATGTAAAAATTAGATTGACAAATAATCTCACCTTGACTTGGCCTTGGAGTGAAGAGGTTTTACATGCAGTCATATTCAGTGTCCTTGAGAAATGAATGTCGGTCGTTTCGCCAACAGTCGTTTCGCAAACGTCTTTGGTCAGTTCGTAAACGTGTAGAAGTCAGTTCGCAAACGTTTAGAAGTCAACTTGCAAACGTTATCGTCACTTATATGTGTAGAAGCCAGTTCAGTTCAGATTTCGGATGTCAACATTTGAGCATACAAACTAACTCTCAAGCTTAGTCTTGTAGTTGATTTCGCTCTATCACAGCGTTTGCGTGTTGCATGTACAATAGCTGTAATCCGCAAATCAATCTACTAATATGAAACCTACGAGGTAAGCTGTATGAAACAAAACGCGTACTTAACCACACGCGTGTAAGCGAAGAGGACAAACAAGTATCCTAAAGGACTGGGTTTAAATAAAGCCACTTCAAAATGGCGGTCTGTTCAACTTCAACTTCAACTTCAACTTTATTTCATAAGACTATTGGTTACAATAGACTGGCCCGCAAAATAGCAATTGCTAATCTAGGCAGACCAGTTAAAAGAAAAATAAATTGAAAGGAAAAGAAAGGAAAAGGAAAAGGAAGGAAAAACTACAATTTTAAGTTACAATAAATAATATTCTATCACAGTTTTATTTTAATTACATTAAATCTGAACAAGCAAACAAACAAAATACTTTAATACAGAAATCACTAAACTATTAATCGAACTTTTTCAACTATTAAGGGCGTCTCAATATAGTCATCTTCTCTTTTTAAGATATCTGAAAGCAATCTCTGAAGTACTTTCCTAAATTTCTTTTTAGGAAGATCTCTAATATGACAAGGCATCTCATTCCAAAGTTTTACACCAAAGCGAGACAAGGAGTTTTTGTGTATTTCCAGCTTTGAGCTTTTGACGTGAAAGTTACCTGAACTAGATGATCTTGTATAGTATGAATGAATTGTTGAGGTTTTTTCAAATAAATTGAGCAGATTTGTTGGCGAATTGTTGTTGTTAATATCGTGCATTAGATTAGCCACAGTTTTATAATACATAAATGACACTGGTAATATGTCAGCGTCGATAAATAGAGGAATTGCGTGTTCACGTATATCCGTAAAATACATCATGCGAAGCACTTTCTTCTGGAGAATTAAAATGCTATTGAGAGACGTCTCTGTTTGTACCCAATCGACTTGTAGTCAGTGTGGTGAGTCATCCACTGTCCATTTGATTAAGAAGTATACTTAAGCGGGAAATAAGCTGTGAGATTTCACATCCAATAATTTACGCATACAACGTGTAAGTAATGTAGTATTCTGAATCGTATAGTTAAACCCAGGTTGACATGTAAATGTTTGTAATGTTAAATTTCAGATCAGGTTGACATATCAATGTTTATAACGTTTGCGAATTGACTTCTAAACGTTGGCGAACTGGCTTCTACACGTTTGCGAACTGACCAGAGATGTTTGGGAAACGACTGTTGGTGAAACGACTTGTTGGCAAAACGACCGGTTACCTGACAAATAAACAGTATTTTCTATGAGGTTTCTTTTGAATGGCAACTTGGTAGCATTTTGTACAGTTTGTTAGGGTGGCAGATAATCACCATGGTGTGGTTTAGGAGTTGAAGGGTTAATTAACAAATAAGCAACAATTTCCCATGGTCTGCACTCTTATTAATAATAGAAATGGTGTCAAAATGTTCAAAACTCAAGTGGAACCATGAGCCTTAGGTGAGTGGTTTTACTGCAAAGTTTTGAACATGTTGACATCATTGCCATGGTCAATAAGAGTATAGACTAAGGAAAATAAATTGTTGTTGTCTATTTGTTTTGTACAATAACATTGACAGCTTTTGTTGTTAAAGTTTCTGTTTAAGTTTTCTGAACATTGTATGCACTAAAAAGAGTATTAATATTATTGTACAACCATCATACCATTTCCATGCTGTGCACTCTCATTGACCAAAACTCTCAGCCAATCAGCACCAGCATGCAAAGAAAGTTGTGTCTGATAGCATGGGGTTAGTAAATTTTGCTATCAGGCTAGTGAATTCTGTTCTTAGCTTGCCTGATGGGCAAGAGTACATAATGTAGTTTTTTTGAGGTATTCAAATAATATTACAGAAGAACTGTGAAGTCAGTTCATCAAAAAGTTTTTGGGGCTAGTTGAAATGGCGTGCGGGCTAGTAAATGCTGGGAACAGCTTGCCCGAATGGCAAGCTTAAAAATGACTTTCTTTACACCCTTCTGCGAACAAGAAATCACTCAGTATTGTGAAAGAAGGCACTGAATAAAGCATGGGTCACATTGGAGCTTTTATGAGCTATAAAAGATGCATCTTTGTTTTTGTTACCTATACAAAATTACGTTATATAAAACATGGTTGAACTTGATGTAAAACAATACTGTGACAACTTACTAATCATTCCTTAGGCCTGTTTACATGTACATATACATGAACTTCACATGAGCTGAATTAAGTTCCTGTGAAGTATGGTGTCTGGATCAATTCAAAATGGGTAATTCAATTTGGGTCGGCTTAGCTAGGAATAATGGCTGTGAACCTTGCATGAGCCAAACGAAGTGCATAATTTTTTACAATTTAGTTTACTGAAATGTATTTTTTTTGCCTTTTGAAATTAGTTCACCTGGGGTAAAGATGAGTGTTTGAATCAATTTGATTCCACTTTAATTTGAATTTACTTGATTCCGCTCATATGAAGTACAATGCCTTTGTTTGTTTGTTTGCCTATTTGAATGCCTATTTTTATATCCGCGGTTTGTGAATATCCTGTAGATTTGAAGTTATAGCACCTAAATGATGTGATTAGCTATAAACCCTATGTGTAAATGTTGTCGTTAATTTTTTCTTGACTTGTGAGTATATCGCAAACATTTAGAATTTTCATTTCTTTTTTCCAAAATCTGCTTGTAAATCTAAGGCAGAAAAATATATCTTAATACAGAAAATTTTAACTTTCATCTTTTGTGTTGAATTTTACAAATTTTTTTTGTTTATAAGTTCTTTTTCTTTTCTTTTTTTTTCACAGAAAAACAGAGTGCTCAAAACTGAACTGAAGAAGTTGCGAAAAGAGGCCAAGCTGTAATCTTGTTTTTTAAGATACAATAAAATTGTTTCCTGGAAAGATTTCTTACATCTTTTTAAATTTTATGGGAGGGGATTTGGTCGCAAAATGAACATTTGGGGTGTAAAATTCATTATTTCTTATCCTTGCCAGCAAGTTTTGTGTTTAATGATACAAGGGACCTAGTCACGTCGACCTTTTACAGTGTGACTACTATAACCCGGGCCACCTAGACAAAGTTGACCAATTGGATGACAGGAAAATAACAATACATTCGAAGAAAGTTAGTTCTCAATCATGATTACCACAAAATGAAATTAACAACATGGATAAAAATCATAACCGAGACATGACCTTTTGAACCTGCTGAAGAAAGCTGAAAAATGTAAGCAATAGTAGCTGTTATATTTTTTACTTGAGGTCGCAGATTATTGCAATGCGTGGCAATTGTAGCGAAGAAATTGCTGGTATATGACAAAATAGCAGCTTTTGTCAACCAAATGTGGCTCCTGGGTGTTAAAAGTAAAGTTTCAAATAGGAGAACATTGTCTGGTTGAAGGTTTTGCTTTCTTAAAAAACGTTTGCTATCATTATTTAATTTTTTGCTTCAAGTAACTTATTGTATTTTTACCAGCTGCTGATTGGCCCACAACCAACTTCGATTGGTCAACCTTGCCTAACTGGCCCAGGTTACAGTAGTTGCACTGTAAGAGCTCCATTACATGTACCTTCCTCATGAACATGGTCACTTTTAACTCCAGTGTATAACCCAAAGTCGGAAATATGTTCAGCTTTATTTTTTCCTTGCCAACCAATTCTTGAACTTAAACAATCCTGCAGGAAAAATCCTAAAGCAAAAATAGTGGTAACCTGCGAATACAGCTGCCTTTCATCATTCCGTGTCACTGGGGTCATTTTATGACATGTCCCCAGTAACGGGAAGCAGTGTGAGGTGGCTGTAAAAGCTTATGGTAGTCCAGTCCAATCCAAAAAATCCTGTGGCTGTTATTGAAGCCCCTTGTTTTTCTCTATCCCTAAAACTTCCATGGATCCTGATTATTTTTGCAGCTTAACAGAAAGCAAAGGGACTAGATGCATAGATGTTATTGAAACAATGATTTTCTGTTAAATGATGTGGCCCTGATGATCAATATGTATGCCAAATTTAGTAAAAACCAAAAAGACTGCAAATGCAAATTATCCCTGAAGGTGGAAATAACTCATGCCCAAAATAGTTTGCATTCTCCCGGGGCACTTCGACTTGAGGAACGAAGTTTATTGTTCTCAGTTGATTTCTGCCAAATTTCACATGGCAGGTAAAAGGGAACAAGGATGCCGAACAATTGACCGTAATTTCAAGGAAGGTATTCTTCAAGCTCTCAACACGTTAAGGGAAAAAAACAACCTTTGTGATGTTGTTTTGAGGGTCAACGGATGCAACTTTCCAGCTCACCGTTGCGTTCTTTCTGCGAGCAGCTCTTATTTTCAAGCTCTTTTTTCTGACGACTTTGTAGAAAAACGTAGTGGTATCGTGATAGTAGATGATCTGGGGTATTTTCAGATGGAACAAGTGCTACAATTCCTTTACCTGGGTGAAGTGGAAATCTGTTTGAAAAATGCCGAAAATTTGGTTATGGCTGCTGACTACCTTCACATTCCAGCATTGAAAGAGAATGCTTCGTTAGTTTTGCAAAAATCAATCAGTTTATCCAACTGTCTCTCTCTGCGCGCGTTCTCCTTAAAGTACGGCTGTGCGTTGTTAAAGAAATCGTGCGATTGCTTTATTAATCAAAACTTTACTCAAGTAGCAAAATCTGCAGCATTTGGTGATTTGAATTACGAGTCATTCATAGAATTACTCACACGTGACGAGCTCAATGTTAATAACGAAGCTGAAGTGTTTCTCTCGGCTGTTTCCTGGGTAAAACACGATCCTCATATGCGGAAAGAATTACTCCTTGAAGTCCTTAAGAAAGTGAGATTACCTTTAATAGCTGAAAAGCAGCTTCATGAAATGATTATGAGCGACAAATTTCTTCGAAATAATTCAATCACTTTGAACAGGTTACTTAATATAAACGATGTCAGTGTGTCGGCAAGTGAGTTCAACCTTAATCGACACTTTCATGTTGCTCGAACTGGACCTCTTGAAACGGCAATAATACTTTCAGGAGGAGACAAATCGTACTTAAAACAACGACTACAAAACAGTTTTGTGGCATTCTTGCCCTTGCGTGACACTTGGGTAACGCTACCGGATCTTCACCTTCCACGTCATGGTCACGGTGCAGCAGTCTGCCAAGGTGCCCTATATTTGGTTGGTGGAGTTAGTGGAAATGTTTCTGCTCATTCTCATGTCTGTCAGTTCAGTCTTGTTGAAAACAGATGGAATTGTGTTGTTGCTGACCTACCACATCCAGTTTCATTCAGTGCTGTTGTTTCAGTGCAAAACAAGTTGTTTATAATTGGTGGAAGGGATGGTTTTGATAAAATATTGGTCAAGACACAGTGCTATGACCCACTGCATAACCAGTGGCATTGTGTTAAAGACATGAACTTTCCACGTGATAACCACTCCGCAACTGTATTGGGTGACTCTATCTACGTTATTAGCGGCGACAGACAAAACTTTAGAAGCTGTGAACGCTACGATTTATCATCAAACACATGGCATATTTTGCCAGATTTGACAATGCCACGACAACAGCCAGCAGCTCAAGCATTCAGTGGGAAAATCATAGTGGCTGGTGGTTCGTTTGGGGTAACTTACAGGTTGCACACCACATGTGAGATGTATAACCCAAGGACAAATGAATGGACCCTGGTATCTGGCCTTGCTGTGCCCCGGGCAGGGTGTTGTGTTGCAGGCACCGAAGATCATGTCTATATATTTGGTGGGTCTAATGGCCGCTCAGTTCTGAACACACTGGACAGTGTTGAGCGGTACAATGTGACAGAGGACAGGTGGGAGACTGTGTCAGTCATCCCTGAAATTGTTATCTCACCACAAGTAGCTGTTGTAAAGATACCTCAGAAATACCTAATGTAACACCAGTGATAATTTAAACGTTATGTAAGAAACAATGCTAGATATATTTTCATTGCTGAAACAAGTTAGTTTCATCTTGTTGAAAAATTGGCAGGTGTAATAATCCTATTTGATCTTTACAACTTACAAACTAGAGTTTGGAAGGTTCTGGTTGGGATGTAAAATCTCATTTTCACATTCTATTTAATGGAACATGAAAATTCCTGGGAATAAGTGGAACTTTGATGCTGAGTTAGTCCTCTTTTTCTGTTGGAAACTTTTCCAGTGCGAATGCCTGTTTCATTACAAGTTTTCACTAGGTTTCAACAGTTTTAGGCTATTCACTGCACTGAGCCATTTTGAATTTGGAGAACAAGACAACTGGAACTTGTGTCAAATGAAACACATTTTTATTGTAGAATTAGCCTTAGTCTTTTTAAAAGGATAAGTAACCCTTTTATCCCAAAACTGTGCAAGTAAAAATTTGACAAAAATTCCAAATTCATTTCAATTTGTAAAATGCAGAAACGCAAATAGTACTATATTACCGTATTAAAAAGTAGCTTTCATTTGAATGTTCAAACCAAAGAAGTGAAACCACAGACTAAACAGTTGAAACCACCATAGAATACTCCGTTTTACTCTGGGAGTGAAGCGGGGATTAAACGGGTCATCCTCGGTGTAAAAACCTGTGAAACTCACGAGTGACGTATTATAAAAACAATGAATAAAAAGAAGCCACTAAGAAGTCAACACTATAAAGCCAAGGAAAATAATATCTAGAAAGCAAAGACAGGTTTCTACACCGAGGCAAACCCGGTTCAATGAGAACTAAAACCCATTCATTCCTGCAACTGGAACTATCGGCAGTCCTTTTCTTACAAATTACATGTTACTGATTACAGGAGTACTTCCCCCGTGGATTTCAGACAGAATGTTGTGAAGTTTGGTTTATTCTTTGCCATACTAAGATGAGGTCCAGACGTAACTAAGCGTATCTTTCAAAATGGCGTGATTTGTACAGTTTATTTACAATTCTGCAAAGTACATTACAGTGTCTGTTCTCATTTTGTAACAAATGACGAAAATACAAAGACGAAAACAAAGTCAGTAATGACAAACCATAAATGACAAAATGTAGACTACATACAATTTGTATTTTAAAAGCCTGGGCAGAAATACAATGGTTCTGTTAAAAGTCAAATAGTTTCTGCGCTAAAACTATCGCCTGCTATAAGCACAGACAAAATAAGTAGACTCATAGAAAATATAATTAGCAGGTTCCGGTACGCGCTGTTAGCGCCACTTTGAGTACGTATTTGAATTGAAGTTATAAACCAAATCTGAAGGGGGTACGGCGTGGAGTTGCAGGGGCTTTACGTCCTGGTGTAACAATTTGAGACCTGTGATTAAAAGCCAAAAATGAAAGGCAGTACATTAGTTTAAAGCTTAAATTTCTAAACTATGAAATGTGACTCTTTACAGTAGATTTCAAAAGACTCGTGAATCCGCAAGCAAGTCTATTAACACTAGTAACTTTGAAGGCTAAGAAGAACAATTGTTTTAATCGAACACTTGCACAATTTGCTACTACAATACTCAATAAGGTAAATTCTACTACAATTTATAGATAGGAAGGGTTAAACAGGAAAGAACAATTCGTCTCAGAGAAATTAAAAGACTAAATGCAATTTCCTGACCTTACTGAAGGAGTGACTTTCGCAAGTTTTTCTTCCTCTCTAGCTTTTATCTGCGCACTTGCGGCTGCCATCTCTTCTTCCATAGCTGATAAATCTTCCCTAGCACGCTTTCTTTTCTCCTACAAACGAAAAGAGAAATGACATTAATAAAGGAAAGAAAGTTGATGTCTTTTAAAACTTACCAAGGTTAATTTGTTTGAGTAACTTTATAAAAATGTAAGGGGAGAGGAGACTAGATAAGACGCCTCTCGCCACCAGTGTTCCTATTGCGGTCAGCAGGATAATCTATCAGTATTCTGTAATATCTAAAGCCATGATTCGAAAAACGAAAATGAGTATCAAGTACGGTTTTCAACTCACACTGGGAGTTCGTTTCCTACCTAGGTTTCCCTTTTGAAATGCTAAAACGTGGCCGCTCAGAGCTGCAAAGGCCGGGTCTGATTTTACTTACCACTGGCTTGCTTGTCTTCTATCATCTTAAAGCTCTACGTTGAAGAACTGTCTGTTCTTGATACTATTCTGGTGGTAAAATTAAGGCGACGATCTCTTCTCGAGATTTAACTTTCTTAATTACGACATAGTCCGCGAGATGATAGGTAAATAGCAAAGGTGAAGCATTTTGATGTGAGCCTTATTTTCAAGGGATTCTCAACAAAAATAATAAAGAGTTTAAGCTTCACGTATACGGTGAACGGCAAACGTCAGATTCAAGTTGGGAATTTCGCAAAATAGAAAAAAGAAGATAATAACAGCTCAGAAAACTCATGGATAAAAAATTGCGTGAAACTACTGATTTATGTGTAGAAATAACGAACAGTAGGCCACAAGCAAAGGGAACCTAGGTTACGTGACACAAATTCACGTTTGCCGTTTGACGTAAACGTGATGCTTAACGTCCTTAACCTCAAATACCACTCACCAGCCGTGTTTTGGTGGATTCTTTGACAGTATAAAACATGGGTCCGAGTTCTGCAAGCCAGTAACCGTCAACAGCAGTAACACACTGCATGTATTCCTGTTTATTGATCAGTAAAAAAAATTGCGCTTAGCACATCCCCTAATCAACAACAATCGAAATCTTTAATTTCTGTTGTACTGGAACCTCGATTATAACGAAATCCTTGGCACAACGAACGATACTTCGCTATAGTAATAGTAACATATCTGGAAAAGAACCTCGATATAAGGAAACCTCGTTATAGGCTTAGCGAACATATTTTACCAGCCTCTTCGTTTTTTCGAGGTTCCACTGTACATAGTAATGCACGAATGTTGAGCAACCTGGAGCTCCACCGTATGGACTGACGCAGTACTCATCATATGAGCTACTCACCAGTACCTTTTTTCCTAGCCAGCTATCCACAGTGTTCAGTTACAGCTGTTTATTCACACTTTATATCATATCTACATTGTTAAGATAGAGCGATTTTCGTATGACCTTGAAATGAAATCGTGCGAACAAAACAGAAACAACAAACGAAGGGAAATAGAGCGATTTGATTGGTTTGTCGAACGGATACAAACGCGCGTCGCTTTTGGTTGGTTAAATCCGTATTAGGGTTCTCTTTGGCGGGAAAACGAAGAGTCCATGTTTTGATCTTTTCATCGATTGGCTAATAAAACAAATAACGAACACTTACCGAAACCATTTTTCAAGGTCATACGAAAATCGCTCTATCAAGGCATCGGAACAAAACCATAAGAAAGGAAAAAATACCGAGGTGAATTTCTTGGAGGGAGGTACAGTGGAACCCCGTTAATGCGACCGCCGTTGGGCCATAAAATCCTGGTCGTAATAACGAGGTGGTCGCATTAACGGGGTCCTCAAAATAATAAAATGACTCCATGGTTTTTACGTTTGGTTTGAAAGAATATGGCCGTAATAACGAGGTGGTCTTATAAACGGGGTGGTCGTAAGGCGGAGTTCCACTGTATACGGAGGTCAGAGGAGCATAGATTTTGAGCTAACCACTGGTGTGTGTATCGAAATACTTCTCTCTGCGCACGCTAGCCGCCATATGGCAACTATTGTCCGTACGTCAATGTTTTTTTTACCACTGGCGGCCACAAGTTTCCAACAGGTTTCTTACCTTGGAGGTCATCACTAACTCATGATAGACAATGTAATCTGGAGTGTATCCCATGCCGAACAAAGCACTGGTTGGGTGAAGATGACATGGCATTCCTGTCCTCATGTTTACATACTCTCCGATACCCTACAACACAAATAAATGACAGTTATTGGGGCACGAGTTTTACACCTACCACAAGAAAGTAAAACGAGGACCGTCTAGAAGTTGCGTTACATTTTACTTTAATTGGAGCTGCGTGTAGTTAAGAGGTTAGTTGCATGGGAACTGTAAACGAATCTTAAGACAACTTTTTTGAAATTTTGAAAACGCCTTTTTTACGACAATCTGGTACTTGACTTTATTTGCTTTGCCAATTATTTGCTTTGCCAATTATTTGCTTTTACTTGTTAACGTGCCTTCTTTCGTATTTGCTGTGTCATTTGAAACCTTCGATTGACCGTCCTTTTGTAGCTGAATCGGCGCTAGTTCACGAGACAGCGTGTTTAAGGTCAAGAAAAAAAGAACATGTCATGAATATGCGGCACTACGATTTAATTTCTTGCAAAGAAGTACCCTTTGTAGCTTATTTAAATAAATAGATAAATAAATAACCTTCAGTCTGGCAGCTTGGTGGAAGTAAGAGGAGCAGATGCATTTTCTTAAGACATCCCAGTCATTTCCACAAGATTTAATGGGCATTTTTTGTTGAACCATGATATCCTTTAATTGCCCACGAACCTCTCGAACCTAAAGATAACAGAAAGCAGTTTGAATTGTATGAGTCTAGTTAGAAAACCACTTATGTCCAAGCACTTGCAATTTTCGCTACTGCGTGCAAACTGGACATGCAACAGCATGCAGCAGGGTGTGCAAAAGGACGCAACAATGTTGCATAGAAGTTATTGGCTAGCAGTGTTGCGTCTGTTTGCACGAGGCGGCTTAAGCTGGTATAATTCCCAACGTAATACAATTGAAACGTCGCCACCATTATTATTATTATTATCGCTCGCCGTCATCATCATGATAATGTAGTCAAATCATTTTAAACAATACTAAGTAGTCAGATCACTTGTGCTTTCCTGAAACCTTAAAGGAAAACGCTGGAGAAACATTTACAGATCAGAGCCTCCTTAAAGCAAATTCTCCTTAGAGGGTACACTAACCACACTTTTTGAGCAGGAATATGATAAATTGTTACATACCTTCCGCATGGCTTTGATGTGTATAAAGTGTTCATTACACCACTGGGCAGAGTAACTAAATAAAAACAATAAACAAAACAATCCAACATTTCAGTTTAGGGTGGTCAAGAGTACCATCCGGGGACGTCAAACAATACTTAAGCCCAACGAAATTTATCCTAGTCCTAAACTTATTCTAATGCAGGTAAAGACAGCCAGAATTGGTAATTTCTTGTGTTCGACATGTAAAACAACACATAAATAAGTATTCCGCATCATTGTATGCACAAGCTTTACTTTTATCGTTGAAAGAAGTCGAAAAAACATGCATTTTCACACAAACGTGGCTTGATTATCACCTAACATGTCTCAAAATGCACGCGAGGGATAAACGAACAGCTACTGAAAATGTTAGGTACTGATGTTTGATCGTGTGGGAAAAAAACTAAGAAAAACCTCGGAGAGGGACGTCTGAGGGTTACTAAATGATTTTTCCACAAGTTAAGAAAGGGGTATTTTGAAACTAGTTTAATCTTGACAGATCAGGTAAGCTGGGGCACGTTTCTGGAAAGTCCCGATAATTAATGAGCCCAAACCGAGGTTTCAATAGTTTTACAGATAATATGATCAAACTATCAGTTAAAAAAACAAAAATGAACTGGTTTGTTGTCTAGGACCCACGCTCTTATACTTCAGATTTTGATTTGAATATTTGATTTCGGAACCGAAAAGTTACCGGGAATTTCGAACGATCCAAGTCTACGGGTGATCCAAAAAGTGTGCGACTTACTTGTTGCTTTTCCATTGTATATAGACATTAAGGAACGTCAAATGATCACTCTCAGGCACCGCAAATTTCTCCCTCGCTGCGTCACTTTCCTCTTCTCTTCCTTTTGGGCGGAAAAATATGGCTGGAACTGACAACATGGATACTATAGTCTGCAAAACGACATCAAAAATATTTCATGAGACGATGAGGTAGTGAAAACGTAGAGAATCGTATAAAACAACATTCAATAACCCCATCATGGCCTGTTTAAGGAGGCCCCGCCATCCCCTCTGGGGAGGGGAGGGGGCGGTTGTTTACACGCAAGTCCTGATATGTTCCATTTATAAGCCCAGTACTAACTACTGACACAAGCATACGAAAATTGCACGCTTGTAAGGCCCGCTGCAACTTAAGAATGAGGATAAAAGTGTACAAGTTCTAGAGATCAGTAGAAATAACAATAAACAAGGGAATTCGGCACGCAAACTCTCTTTTCCGGTCACATCGGTTGGGTTTTCTCGTATGCGCCAAAAATATGTTTTTTTTGCTCAGGCTTATGATGCTAGGGAGGACCAAACTTTCTACTTCCTTAAGCCCCCGCGCAAACAGACGCAGCATTGTTGGCGAACAACTCTTAACATTGTTGGATGTTACCTTGTTGCATGTTGTTGCGCAAAGTTTGAAACCGGTCAAACTTTTAGCCCCGTGCAAACGGACGCACCATTGATGGCCAATGACCCTTAACATTATTGGGAGTTGTTGCGTCCGTTTGCACGTAGCTTCATAATACGTACCAGTGACTCGTCGCTGCATTCCATATCCACGGCTACAATCAACATCTTGGACAGGGCGGGGTCCAGAGGGAATTCTACCATCTGACGTCCCAGGGGGGTTAGACTTCCCGTATTATCTAAGGCCCCAAGAATCCACAGCTGATACATAGAGTTTAAGATATTGTCCTGCAAAGTCACCAACGAGAAGCAAAGTCATGGCAGTGCAATGCTTACGGTAAGCTTGAGTGGTACATAATAAAATTACACGACAAACAGCATTGTCAATCACCAATCAATTATGATCGAAGAATAGCACTCTAAGCTCAATTATGATTTTCATGATTTTTCAATACCCTAACAAATGAGATCGATCATATACGGCGCTAAAAAGTTTACGTACATCTATATGGCTTCTCTTTTGGTGAGCCAACTAAATGTGAACTTATTCCTTGCATTTGAATAAAAATAATTCTTTAATAAAACGATCAACACAGGGAAATGCTTTGATCTTTTATCAAATTCTCTCAACTGAGCCTGAGAAAATGTATGGAGATCAGTCTGGAGAGTTTGTATGTGGATATTGGGTTACCTGTGGTGGAGGATCCATAAAATGAAACTCCAGCAGATTCTGCACTCCCAGTGACTTGAGAAGGAGAACCACATTGGCCAGGTTTGTTCGCTGAATTTCTGGCACTGTGGATATCAAGAGCTCATTTTTGTAGGAACTCTCGGTAAACAGACGGAAGCACTGGCTGAAAACAAAACAAATCAAAGAACATGCGATCAGATAAGCGTCTGCTGTAAGGAAAGGAAAGGTTTGTATGGAGAAAACTTTTCCCGGCTAGAAGGTTCACTCACCTATCTTAGCTACCCTGGAGGAGCCAGATTTTTGTACATTTTCTTACAAAACTTGGCGAACCGTTTACATGAAAAACAAAACGTTTGCTCCCCTAGAAGGCGACGGTAGGGTCACCCTCCCAGCCGGGATAATAGGGACCTTAAGCAACGACGACGACGACAACAACAACAACGTCAAAAAACAATTGGTTTTATGAGCAAAACAACAGCTCTGCACGTGCATCACGCTTTTTAGTACATTTCTTTGGCGTCCACTGCACGACTAGGACGTGAAACCTCCCAACGCGACGTTTTATAGAGGACGTGGACATACTAGGACAATATTTCCCTTCTCTATTTGAACATGGATAAAGCCCTTAAGAATTCAACTCCAGGAAAAGTCGCCTACATTTGAGCAATTGAGCGGTTCCAAATAGACGCAGTAAAGTTTGAAAGGACGCAAATTCATTTTTTAGTGATGTTTTCCACAACCGTCGTCGTCGTCGTTGCTTAAGGTCCCTAATACTTTGACTCGCCCAGCCCGGGGCAACTCGGTCATGGTGAGATATTCAGCGCATGCGCGAGCGCTATTTTCAAGGGCAAAAGGTTAAGGGCAAAGGAGTCAACTTTTCTCCCATATAAATTCTCGCTCAAGCTGACTCGGCTGGGAGTGGGGCGGGGGTAACCCTCTTTACCGCGGAGACAACTTTTTTTCCATCTAAATTAGGCCTAACTTGGATGAATAGAAGGCAAACGAGGCATGGGCAAGCGGAAATATAGTTTTCCTCTTCACGTACTCGGCCAACATCTCATAAGTGAGTTAGCATGTTCCAGGCTCCAACATAGTGGTGCAGTCGTTCGGTAGAAAAATGATGCGAAAAACACGCGGGTGCTGAAGAGAGAAGGCGCGTCCTATTTTCGCTTTGCTCGTTTTATTTATGTCCCAACTATAATATCTGGGAGCCTGGCACAGACTATAAGTGGGTAAGTTGAGTGTTCTACAAAATAAGAAATGAAAAAAAAAAATAAAAAATAATAATAATAATAATAAAAAACACGTTAAAAAGGTCGGTACCCAGGTCCAGTTCTTCCAGCACGACCAGATCTCTGATTTGCGTTGGCCTGACAACAAGAAAGAGAATGGAATGATAAAATGTATCACGGCTTACTCGCACAAGGTAACTTAACAAACGTTCACTGTTGTCCTACGACTTTTTGCTACACTTACGAAAACCAGGGCAACGCTGGTCAACCTCCCAGGAAATTTTCCTGGCGAAAACGTGTCTGAATGACAGTTATTTACGCTTTATTAAAACACCAACGACAAAAAAAAACAGCAAGGTTACAACATCCCGTGCCTTTATACAGTTCAAGAAAAGTAATTTTTAGGTCACAGTGGGACACAAATTGAAAAATATCGTTTTTATCTACCTGGCTGATGGGATAGACTTGTAGTGCATCCATACCGATCTTGGGATTAAAAACTTTCAGTTTACAGTATCCAGAGTCCACAACGAACATAATGCCGTCAACTAAAAAAAACAACAAGATATTAGCAAAAAAAAAAAGAACTTTAAATTGTAAACTACTCGACAATTCTTGTACATCTTGTACACTGAGGTTATCTCAAGAAAAGGATTTTTCGCACCAGTAAGGGAGGTTTCCGCGATGTTGGTTGCAACGATGCATTTCCTGACTCCATCCGGGGCTTTCTGAAATATCTTGGCTTGTAAATCAGATGGCAACTGTGAATAAATGGGTAACACTGCCAAGGGAGGTGCCTCGTCTATCTCGTTAAGACGCTCTAAAGGAATAAACAGGTAAGAATAACATTATTAATAAATAAAACAACTCCCCCTCCCCCCGTATTTTTATACGTAGCGACATGTGTTTTAATACTGTTTCGTGTACTAACCTGTAATAAGGTCACAAGTGACTTCAATATCCTCCTGACCAGGCATAAAGATTAAAATATCACCTTGGAAATCGAAAAAGAAACACATACAGTATGTAACAAACGATGGCACCATTGATCCTTGGAGATGTTGATCTTTCCTTTATTTCCGAAAAATAATTATTAGTCAGCATTGTTTGGGGCAGTACAAACAGAAAAACAACCGATAAATCAAATAATGTAGTCATATTTTTAGGGTCATGGAGCAGCTGCTCGAAAGTGGCCTAACCCTGACCCCAAACAATACTGAAACAATTGAAAGAATGACATGTGATTGTTTTCTGCGACCAATCAGGAGAGACCTTCACCTTACGAGCGGCTCCTACACAACTGATATTTTAGGTGTACGAGTATCACTATACCATCGTGCAAAGCATGCACGAGTATGACGTCTTCTTTGGTATTTCCCCTTACTTGCTTTAAGTCCATTGAAAAGCAGATTAAGCAACGATGACATGGTGACAGTGCCAATGGCGTGAGCAGATCTACCTTTCGGGCGTTTTCGCGCTCTCATTTCATATCAGATCGCAAGAATCGAAATGTTGAATAAGTGATTTCCTAGACAAGAGGTGTATACCTTTAGCTGGCGTGAGATGAATCTGTAAGGCCTGCTTAACAGCACCATCAACATAATCTTCCACTACATTCTTACTGAAAAATATATCCACAGGAAATGTTCGGCCCGGAATCTGAAAAATTAATAAGAACAGTTACCCAGTAGTGACGATCATGTTCTTGTTAAATCATAGTTAGTAACTATGGTTAATTCTGGACTGGAAAAGTGTAAATCGTACTGCTTAATAAGTATTCTTCTAACACAGTGGCTAAAATTCATTTGTTTGCCACATAAGACTGCAAGGGCGCAACGCTTCTTCACAACCGAGCAGAAGAATGCACACAGAGCATATTGAAAACGCACGATAACAAAGAGACGAAACCAAGTCCCAAACCTGGTATTCCAAGGATAAGTTCACACTATATCGATATCTTTTCGTGCCGACACGAAAAGGTATCAGCACAGAACTGGAAGAAGTCGTTCACATACTTTTAACATTGTGCCGGAGCGGTTGGCTCCTCACTCCTGAATATTTTCTGCCAATCCTCAGTGGATTCCAGTTCTTGCTCCTGTGTATTCACTCCCGGTACGGTCCAAATATAAGTTCACACTGTACTTAAATATCGCACCGAATTTATCCAATATGTGATGCTCCATTTTTGAGATCAGCGCGGTGCAGCTTCGCTCCGTTACAGAAATCGCGCTGAAATCACCATTCTTATGTGTAAACAGAAACCCTAGCCGGTATGGTTTTCGTTCCCGTGAAAGAGCTACAATCTTGGACAAAACTGATGAGAAAATTGCATTCTTGGGGGGTTATTTTTTCTAAACTTCGTAGCCGACCGATTCTTCCCTTCCCCCCTCCCCCTGGAAGCAGTGTTGTTGGTTCTTCAAAAGAAAGCCGGATCCCTAAGCATTTGTAGGAAGCAACTTTGAACTGGGGAAGGGGGTTTTCTTTACGCAAAGCCGTTGATTTGGAAATAGTTTTGGTGCGTTAGGTAGTGCGCATTAATGAAAACATTTTGTCAAGTAGTTTTGTCCAGGACTGCAGCTATCCGGTATAGTGTGAATATAGCCTGGGGTAAAAGCCACCCTCATCAATCTATCGTTTGAGAATTTTTTTTATTTTTTGCAAGCTCGGCTGGCAAGAAAACCCTTTTGTCTTAACCACCAAGAAATATAGGTTAAAACATGAATCAAACAAACAAACAAACATAGATGCACGTGAAGCCTCAAGACACAAAACACTAACGAACTTTTTTACCCACTCCAGTAGTGGACACCATTAAGAACAAAAGTAGTCACCCTTACCTGGAAAGTTGGAACGTTACCAAAGAAGTCGGCGAATTTTTGTGCATCCATTGTTGCTGATGTCACAATGAGTTTCATATCTCTTCGACGAGATATGACCTGTGAAAAAAAACAAGTTTTTTCGGCAAGTTAATTTTACAGTGTTTAAATATGAGATGTTGTCGATGTTGTTGTTATTGCTGTTGTCAATACTTTTTTATTATCATCAAAAATATAAAATAGCGTCGGAGTACAAAGATGGAAATGACTTCCAACTTGAAAAACTTATAAGACCTACAAATGTATCATGCTCAGCTGAGTGTTGGTCTAACTGTGTGGGATAATAAGAAACTCGCGATATGACCCTCCTAAAGACTATGGCGGTCAAATGACCAGCCGGCGTCGCAAGCGTTTCCGCACGAGTTCTTCAAGAAAGTTAGGACGAGAGCAAAAGGGGGAAGAAGAAACTTCCCCTCCCCCTTCTTCTATTTTTTTGCACTCGCTCCAACCTTCCCGCATAACTAAATAAGAAACGTTTGCTACGCACGCTATTAAATGACATGAAGCATGTTTTACCTCTCTGAGTAGACCGAAGAGGACGTCAGTGTTAAGCGATCTCTCATGAGCCTCGTCCATTATTATAACACTGTAATGATCAAGGTCTGACTCGCGGAGAGACTCACGAAGCAAAATACCATCCGTCATATACTTGATTATAGTTTTCTGAAAATAACATGTACAACACTTTTTAACTGCAAGCCTAGTACCAAGAGGAATGCTAAGTTGACAAGAGTGAAAAAAATGCTTTTGGCTATTCTACCATTGCAAAAACGTTTCTTTTTATCTTCACTTCTTCCTTTTGTGCCACACACATTAAGTGGTAAAATATTATTTAAAGCAACTGCAAGCGGCAAAGTTTTTGTACTGGGCTGGTTGACATTTCTCCTCACAAAAAACCTTATTTATTAAAAAAAGACTGCCAATTTGCCACTTTAGAAACGGGAAGGAAACTGTGCGAAGCAAAGACTTCTGGTACTGTTACTAAGGATAGGGAAAACATTGGCCAATAGCTGACCAGCGCATTTCCAATAACTATCCCAGAAACAATCGCGGGACACAATTTCGGCTCCAGTTCCTTTCTCGCTTTAAAGTGGCGAATTGAACCTTGAGCCTGGTGCTCAGTCATGGGCTGCAGTAGTCTTAAAAGTTGTGCCATACTCTTTCATAACAAGATGGAATACAGACAGTACTGACAGTTTGCTTATATCTGACAAGGAGAAACTAAGGTGTTTACGGCGCAAAGGGCAAAAGTCCATAACAAACGACACAAAACAGGTACCGGAGGAGAAAAGGTTTACGTTGTTTTCCTTACCTCTGAAGTAACATCTTCAAACCGAATGGCGTAACCAACTTCTTCACCAAGTCTACATCCAAACTCCTCGCTCACACGTTTAGCGACAGACATGGCTGCCACTCGCCGTGGTTGAGTGCAACCTATCATACCGTAATTCGTGTAGCCATCTTCATGCATATACTGCAAAGTTGGAAATATAGGGCAAGTGAATTATGCAGACATACAATGTATTGTAGGATACTTCTTATAGGCACTCACCCTTGAAGCTCGTGTTGCCTGTATTTATAAAAGAACCATACGGCTTCATTCATTCATCACACAGCTTTTGAACTTACAGAATTCTTTCTCACCTGAGTGAGTTGTGTTGTTTTCCCGGATCCTGTTTCACCGACCACAATGACAACCTGATTATCCCTAACAATGTTTAGCAGCTTGAATTAAATGAAAGAAGAAGCATTAAATTAGTTAGCAAGCCTTTTATAATGTCAAGATAAGGGTAGAAAAACTGAAAAATCATGTAAAAAGCGTATCATACCTCTTCTCTTATCGCAAATATGGGCAAATACTGTCTTTGTTCTCTGATTGTTTTCTTAGCAGCAAACTCGCTGCTCGCCTCACTCTTGTCCTTCATGTGTTTAGCAAACTTTTGGTTGTCTTTATAATCTTCTTCACCTCCTTTATCATCCTTAAACAACAAGCAAAAACCAAAAGGTCATTTGGGTGTAAGACGTGATAACAATCTACCATAATTTACAAGAGTGTAAAAGATGACTATAGAATTAGCCTGCTAAAAAGCCCTCTCCCCTCGCTCCTCGCCCATAAAATGTCTCCATTGATGAGGAGCAAGGAGAGTTTCACAGGCTACTAATGAGCAAAATTGTTTCACCAGGTTTGCCACACAAGGCCTAGCTGAGTGATTTCAACCTTGGTAAACCGGAACTAAAAGATTATTCAATTGCTTCCAGTAGTTTACTCAGAGTTGGCCGGCAAGAGGCCATAGTCAAGGAATAATACTTAAAGATTTTATAATAAAAATAAGGGGAACACCATAAAGCCAGTCTCTAGTTTATAAGTTAGATTACAAATGTTTAGCACATTTACTGAATGATGGAACCACTTGAAAAATGCCTCTGTAGGCAAGGACCATTGGTATGGAGTTGGTTATTCTAAATTTTGAGTTCTGTAACATAGCCACAAAAAGTGTGAGCTGGCCAAGGCAAAACTGTCAAAATATATATGTATCCTGGCTTTAGCTTCCTGATGCAATGAAAGTTAAGGCACCTCCTCTTGCTCTTTTTTCACTCCCAAAATGTTCCCCAGTTTAGTTCCAGCAAGTTCCCAATCCTTGTGCTGAGCTTTTTGTCGTTCTTTCTGCTCTCTGTGCAGGCGTACAACATGGCAGCCTTTTCTAGAAATCATGGCCATGTCAGAGGTGGAATCCTACAAATAAGTAAACATGTACACATTTGGTCAGTTACACTGTACATGTAACTATGTACAAATGTATCATTGTAACTTTCAATCAAACATGCAAACAATAAAAATTAATCACTTGATAATGGGGAGCAAGGGTGGCGCCATGGTGAGAGCTCTCGCCACCCACCAATGTGGCCCGGGTTGGAATCCTGGCGTCAATGCCATATGTGGGTTGAGTGTGTTGTTGGTTCTCTCCCTTGCTCTGAGAGGTTTTTCTCCAGGTACTCCAGTTTTCCCCGCTGCTTAAAAACCAACACTCTCAAATTCCAACTCGATCTGGAGCGCAAGGACACGTTTCAGCAAGTTCTTATGAACTCCTTAGTGCTCCGTGGGTAAACAAATATATTACAAATTACAATTTTTGTTTTTGTTATTTTTTTTGCTACTTAGGTTGCTATTAAAATAATTTAACACCCAATGGTTAAAAGGTATTATTAACCGGAGAATATCAATGCCTTCATTTGACACTAAGACCTGGTTAGTTTTGTTTGTTTAGAAACTGAAAATTCATCACCCTACTCCTGGAGATAATTCCTAGGTGGCAGCATGCATGGCCCATCAATTGGAGCATTGGACTTGAAATCTGAAGGCCCCAAGTTGACATCCCACCCTGACCCACCACACTTGTAAAATGAAGAAACTGGGTTATTTAAATACCTTGACTGGAATAACAGGTTCTGGTTGTTTTGTGAAGACAATTCGTCCATCCAGGAAGGGTGGAACAATGTTGTGGACCAACAAATGGACTTTGGCTTCTTGGTCATCTTCAAAATCATCATCAACCTCTAATTTTTGTACTACACCACTTGTTAACATTCTGTTAGTCTCCCACAAGTCATTATCCTGAAGAAAAAAACAATCCAAGTTCGATTAACTTCAACCCATAATGGTCAAAATATCAAGTTGAATATACATGTAGACATCAGGGACCTCACAACTGGATAACGAAGTACATTGACCACGTGAACCTTCTGTGTTGTTGTAAAAAAGAATCAATAATAATAATAATAATAATAATACTAATAATAATAAATGAATGACCATGAAAACAAGTGTTCAATTGAAATTATTTGATACTAGTTACTTTTTGTGTATACCTTATTGATCTGACGCTGCTGAGCAGACATTCTTTTGACTGCTTTCTTTGCCATGTTTTCTTCCTTCTTTTTAGTGTACTCCTCACTAACATCAGCAAATGGGTTATGTGTTTCATCGTAACCAGAATCCATGTCATACCAGGCACGGTCAAGTCTCTGTTAAAATGTAAAGACAATTATAGTAATAATCAACAAATTTAAAGAGACTCCATTATATAATAATACTACATGTATAATTATCTTATAGGAATCTAAGATTCTTGACAATAGGCTCAATTATGGAAGATTAGCTGAATAGCACTAATATAAATTAATAATAAATAATATTATTAATATTACATCGACTACATAATGTTCAACATAATTTTGTACATCCACCTTTCAATGGTACGACTGAACTATGGCTAAAATACCAAGCTTTTAAAATGCCGTGTTTAAAACTTGATTTTGAACAAGTAACAATTACCTTTTGTTCTTCTTCCCACTCTTCCCTGTCAACATCTGATGGAAATTGTGATTCACGCCTAACATCGGATCCTAAAAACACATTGATGGCATGTACATTTTTAGCTGTGTGGAATGTGATCATAATTTCTTAATACAATTGACCAATCGCTGCCAACCTAGCCCTAAAGAACCACAATACAACCCATCATAAACTACTCTTACCTTCCCCACAGGAGACTGCCTTTGAGCTACAATGTAACTACCTCTCAGGAAGTCTATCTCTTATACACTGTAGGTGACAGTCTGTACTTAATCAAAAAATTATTTTGCACTTTATTCCCATAGAAAGTTGTGGCATTGAACACAAAATATATAATTTCATCATTTTTGAGAACTTTCTGTATGTAAAATGGTGTAAGATAACAATCAAGTTCTTACTTTTTCCTTTGGAGAATCTTGGTGTTGCTCCAGTACTGCGGCGATCATCTTCCCAAATATTGTATTTATGTGTGGGAGTAAAACGAGGTGTATCATCAACTCTACGATGTGATCTACAAATGGAGAACAACAGTTATCAAGCACAATATATTTAATGACAATTTTGTTTGTTGACTTTGGTAATAAATACAAATACAAATTGCTAGATTTGCCAAAGCTGTAGTTGTCCAAGTGAAGGGCTATAAGCCTTATAATGGTGATAAATTAGCTCATCTTACTATAATGGTCACTCAATGTAGTTTTGACTTTACATTGATTCACCTTCTTTCACTCCTTACATCTTCACTAACAGATCTGGCGGGTGATGGCATTTCCCATTTTGACCTGCTGGGTGTTGACTCCTCATCATCCCAACTACTCCGTGAAGGTGTCCTAATATCTAACAGAAGTATCATTCAGGTTAATAACTGCCTTGTCACTTTAGCGTTTCCTAAAAATAGGTCCATATATGGATACATGATCATTGCATTTATTGTAAGTCCACTTTCATAACATATCCACATACCCACCTATCGGGTTGATAAAAAACCTTTAAATCAATTATTAGTCACTGCAAATCCACTTTGATATACACTTAGAACAGCATATAAAGCACATATTAGGTTTATAGAATGAATGCATATCCACATACAAAGCTTTTTCGGCTAAATATATTGCATTTAATATCCATACCCCTGGATGAGGACTTATCTTTTCTTCTTACCCCTGAAGATTGAATAAAATTCTATTCACCCCTAAAGACTTCCATCAAAATTAATATGGGTCTACCGCCTCAAGGATGTGGGTCGAACCTTGAAGAATTTTATGGAAATTGAAGCTTCACTCAAAGACTTCCAGGTTCTTTTACTCTACCCCCGAAGAAATCCTCAATTTCTACAACAAGTTATACCCATGAAGAATTCCATTCGTCCCCAGCCAGGAGGTACAGATATTACATGAAACAGCCTTTTAAGGGATAAAGCTTGGAAGTGACAGCATATTCGGCAGGTGAGGCTAGACACAGCATGAAAATCATACCCTTAGACTTGTGTCTTGGAGTGTAACCTTCATCTCTTGTAGACTTACTACTCCTGTATGGCGTTTCTTCCCATTCACTTCGGCGAGATCTTGGCTCCCTAAATTCATCCCTTTTATCTCCATTATAGTTTTGAGATCTACGGCTACTACGCTCTCCTTTTTCATATTTTCGTCTTTCCCGATCACCATAAGTGTCATTTCGGTGTCTATAGCCATCTCGATCAGCGTCCTTTTTGTCTTTGACCCTTGACTCAGCATACACCCCAGCTCTCCTCGTTTCTCTATCCCTTTCTAATCTTCTCAATTGTTTTTCCCTTATTTCTTCATTAACACCACCTGTATGTGAAGGTGTTTCCACTAAACTAGATCTGTAGTGGCGAGATTTCGACTTTAACTCTCCACTTCCCGCACTAACTCTCCCACGACCTTCCAAATCATCACTTCCATCTTCCCATTCATCTGCTCTACAATTTGATGATCCATCCTTCAATCGTTTCGTTTTGTCACAGTCTTCTTCAATCTTTCGCTTCCTTTTCTCTTCAGCCAGCTTTTGCAGACCAAGGACGCTTTCTTTGGGTGATTGGTTCGTTTTCTTGTTGTTCCCTTGTTTTAAGATCAAGCCTCCGACCACAGAACGAGTTCCTTCAAGTGTATCAGAATATTTTTCGTCAAATCCTACGCCGGACATCACGTCGAAATTCTGTTATCTGAAGTTTCATCAACTTGATGATTCCGTCGAAGAGAATCGAAGATTTTTTCATACGCCGTGACGGTCCGCCATAACCCAGAGCCTTCTTTTTTTGGTCAGCGGGCCTACGATCCAACCTGTACTCGTCCTCAGGGTCTTCTCATTTTCCAGTATCATCATCATCATCGTTATCCATCCCATCCATCCCATCCATCATGTATCACGGCGCTCGTAGGGCAAAAAACCAGTAAGAAACCCGGGGTAGTCAATCGATAAAAATCGGTATCGACAAAAATCGATAGCAATCAAGTGATTTTTATCGATTGATAACGGAAATCAGCGAAAATCGATAAACTAAAGTGCTGTGTCGCTTTTATTATCGATTTTTCATGATTTTAAGGATTTATAAGGGATTTGAATCCGATCAGAGACGGTTAACATAATTTGCTGGTTATCAAATGCGTTTGCTTGTCTGGCGCGTCAAGACGCTCAAGTTTTGTCTCACGTTTCTAACTTTCCTCTTGTGACCGTTAAATTGAAACCTGTTATCATCTCCCAAGGAGATCAACAACATGACAATATTGGAAACGTGAGACGAAATTTGAGCGTCTTATTTACGACGCGCAAGACGAGCAAACGCATTTGATAACCAGCAAATTATGTTAACCGTCTCTGGTCGGATTCAAATCCCTTCCAAAACGACTCATAAAGACACAGGAACAAAGGTAAATGCATATTATTATTTTATTAGCTAATACTGCGTAAATACATCTAATTTTTCTATTAGCTAATACAGCGTTCGGGTTCCTTGTGAATTGTTGTTTGATGGTATGACTTAGATAGCCTGCGTAGCAGGCGCTTGGAAGTAGTGGGCACAAGAAGGAGACACGCGTGTCTCCCTCGCGCGCGCCCGTTCTCTCTTTCGCCCACTAGGGATCGACGACGGCAACGACAGCGAAAACGTCAGTTTTAAAACGAATTCCCGCTTTTTCAATCTTTGTCGCGTTTATTCCAATTTGCTGAAAATGGCAAGTGTAGGCGAATTTCCCTGGAGTTGATTTCTTGAGGACCGCACTCAAGTTTAGAGAGAGAAAAAGAGATTCTGCGTCGCTTGTTTACGTCCTCCATAGAACTTGCAATTAGGCATTTTTATGTCGTAGTCGTGCAAGGACGGTAAAGGAATGTACAAAAAAGCGTGATGCACGTGCAAAGTGTTGTTTTGCTAATATAAACCTATTGCTTTTTTGACGTCCTCGATGCCGTCGCCGTCGTCGTTGCTAAAGCTCCCTAGTAACTACCTCCAAGCGACTGCTACGCAGGCTATGAGTTAGATAGTACAGTGGATAGTACAGCTGAGAAAACGCATCCACGAGTAACAACTGATCAACAAACATGAAAAAGAGAAATATGGAACTATTACACACGCAATTCTTTTCTCTAAAACGCTTTATTTTGTACATAACAAAAACGGTTCAGTTACATTCAGTTCTCGCAAGCAAGGATCACGTGGAATACAACCGTTAGATAAAGATTTCCTAGTCTAAGGGCACTTTCCATTTGCAAGAACTGACCGGCCAGACCATTCCTGTCGTAATGAGAATTTCGCTTTTAATCAAAACTATCCAACCAGATCAGTCAAATCCTAAATAGTATGCACGAAGGACATAGTTTTTCAGCAAAACCCTCTGGAAAAAGGCCATTTCATTTGCTAACTGATTGGTCCGGCCGGCCAGTTCTGACAAATGAAAAGCGCCCTAAATTTCAGACATTCCTCCGAGTCGGGATTCAGGCAAATCCCTTGAGAGATTTCACTTCACGTTCCGTTATCAACCGATAAAAATCACTTGATTGCTAACGATTTTTTATCGATTAGGATTTTTATCTATTGACTACTCTGGGATGTAACTTATATACAACTCAATCGACCCGAACTACACCGACGTTTTTTTGAAAGGGGTGGGGGGAGATCTAAAGCCTGAAAACCTGGGCGCCTATTAACCTGGCCAATATCAGCCATCAGAAGAAGATTTTAAAACTGGTTTTAAGGAAAAGAGAAGATTTTTTTAAAGATTTATTTAAAAGTGATAAATGTTTGATAAACAATACAGTGATAAATGTTTCATCCTTCGACTCTTAATGCAATTTCAACTCAATTCTCAATAGATTTGCTCTTTGCATGAAGTCAGTTTTCATTTTTTGATGAACAGATGAACAGATTTATCTTCCGATATGAAATCAATGAAATCGGTAAAACTCAAGATAAATCGATTAAAAAAACGAGTGTGTCATCGATTTCTACCAATTGATCGATACAATCGATATCAATCAATTCAGATTTACCGATTTTTATCGATTTATCGATTGACAAATCGATACGCTGAGTAAACAGTGCAATTTACAATTGGATACTAATAATTAAGTCTGTTTACAATAATAAGTAATATATAGATTTAGCAAAGGCTAAAAGCGAAGCTCTGGTTAATAATACGTGTAAACAAACAAAAATCAAATCGTGAAATGCTAAACGGGGACGACAATGAAAATGACTTCAAGACTAATAGGTCTAATTAGCAAAAAAACAAATTGCACGTGCAGCACACTTCTTCTACTAGTTAGCAAAAAACAAAGTTGCGCGTGCAGCACGCTTTTTTGTCTTTCCCTTGCCGTTGTTTTGCACGACGACAATGAAAATGACTTCAAGACTAATAGGTCTAATTAGCAAAAAAACAAATTGCACGTGCAGCACACTTCTTCTACTAGTTAGCAAAAAACAAATTTGCACGTGCAGCACGCTTTTTTGTCTTTCCCTTGCCGTTGTTTTGCACGACGACAATGAAAATGACTTCAAGACTAATAGGTCTAATTAGCAAAAAAACAAATTGCACGTGCAGCACACTTCTTCTACTAGTTAGCAAAAAACAAATTTGCACGTGCAGCACGCTTTTTTGTCTTTCCCTTGCCGTTGTTTTGCACGACGACAATGAAAATGACTTCAAGACTAATAGGTCTAATTAGCAAAAAAACAAATTGCACGTGCAGCACACTTCTTCTACTAGTTAGCAAAAAACAAATTTGCACGTGCAGCACGCTTTTTTGTCTTTCCCTTGCCGTTGTTTTGCACGACTACAACGGAAGGAATTGTCGTATGTGCTTACCCAATATTTTGTATCCTGTGTTCATGTTTGCTTTTATTTTTCACTGCCGCTCATTTTCACCTTGCTGACCGCTAGCATTTCTCATTTTCTCACCCCCGCTTTGAATTTCTCAATCCATGTTTTTCTTCCTACGAAATTCCTATTCTTTGTTTTCAATAACTCGCTCTAGCTCTTTCTCTGTTATCCACGTTAGTGTAAACATAAAAAATAACGCCGAAAAAGACACGACTTTGTTGTTGTTTTTTCTTTCTAAAGTCCGGACGGCCATGTGATTTCCTTCCAAATAAAACCTTCGGTTGCATTTGGGCTGCCATACCTGTTGATTGAGTTATTTTACATTGGTATACCTGTGGACGGTCGGTGTACGGTCACGTGATTACCAATGTTCTCGGATGGGTAGATTACCACATTTCCTTAGCTATGGGGCTCCGCCAAAGCGGGGCGCGAAGCGCCGCACGTGGAGCTCCGCTATTACAATGATAATTGGAATCAAGAAAACCTAAAAGTGAAAAAGTCATTTGCTCTCTTTGGTTTTTTCATTGTTGTAGTGTTCTTGTAGTGGGATAGATCTTGTCATAACTTGCGGAGCTAAGAGAGATATGGGATGGCTCTCATTCCTCATATCCGCCATCAACTTCTTACATATGAATGTCCTGCGATCTGCTAACGATGTCAAATTTGCTTGGTCTAGAGCTTGTTGATAACTAGAGTTTGGAAACATTATTATTAAGGCTCTTCTTTGTATAGATTCAAGAGCGTCAAAAAGGTATGCAGGAATATCTTGCCACACTTGCGCAACATACTCTAAGACCGATCTGATATTATATGTGTATACCTTGACCATGTCTTCTGGCATGACTCCTGCGCGCCTACATATTCAATGTGAGCGTTCAATTTAAGGTCATCGCTAATTATAAACCCCTAAAAGCTTATACGACCCTACTCGCTCTTGATTTCCAACAACTATAGGTCGCATTGAGTAATCGAATTCTTCATGAAATTTTCGTACATTTCTTTACATTTTTTGGGATTTAGTTTCATCTTGTGTTCAATACAATAGTCTTGGATTTCTGTGACAACTACATCTAGCATACTAATACATCAGAGTTCGTTGGGATAATCTCGAATACAGTAGTGTCATCGACATACTTCGTACGCATATACCAATTCATGAGCAGCTTGTTTACCATAACAGCAAAGGGCGTTAATCCGAGTTTTGTTCCCTGTGGGACGCCACTGTTGACTTGTTTCTATGATGACAGAGAGGAGACGACGCGCGCTGCTTGTGTTCTGTTGGTAAGAAAGGAGCGTATCCAAAATAACAGAGTTTGATCGAAGTTAAAAGATCTGAGTTCATCTATAGTAATATTGAGTGGTCTATGATATCAAAACCTTTACTAAAATCTGCAAAAAATATCCGGACAGAACAGTTTCCTGAATCAATAGCTTCATGTACAGATTGCATTAAATAAATCAATGCGTGCACTGTAGAGTGCCCATGGTGCGCTATTGACGTGGGTCAATAGTATCAGGCACCTGTCCTAAAAGTCTTTTGTTTGTAAATCCTTCTAATAATTTTGCCAGACAGCTAGTGAGTGTAATTGGCCTCAAGTCCGATTTAATGTTTTTAGGGGGGGTAATAAGGGACTGGTGAGATAGTTGGCCGTTTTAAAGTGTCAGGCACAAACTCCTCTCTCAATGATTCATTGTAAATATCTTGAACTAGTGGTGCTAATTCGGGTGCGAATTGCTTTAAGATATTCCATCTTGTCCCACTGCTTTATGTGTTGACAATTTGCCCAAGTCGGATGAGACCTCTTCTAATAAGGAAACAAGCAAATCTGG